CCCCCTTCCTTTTAGACTGACATTTTCTTCATTTTTTGTCTGTAGCCATAATTCACTGATATAGCAGATTAAGGCTTTCAAAATTTGCAGTTGCTTAAATTAATCATTAGTTAACATAAAGACAATGCATTTTTCACTAAAAGAACTTACTTTTAGCCACCAAAAATTCCAAAGTGTGTCGACGTTTTTTTAAAATAAAAAAAATATAAAAAATCCGATTAAATTTTAAAAATCTGATTTAAATTTTTAAAATCGATTTTTTAATTTATTTTAAAAATATAAAAAATCACCAACCCTGGTGTGTGTGTGTGTGGTAACACATTTTCACTTATAACGGCCTCACTGTGTTGCAAGTACTGCAAAACGTCTAATAAAACAAAACAAACTATATTTTTAAAAATTATACATGTAGTGTTATTGCAAGAGCGGCCAGAGCACTGATCGGACTAAAAAACACAACACACAATTTCTGAACTGATTTTTCTTTTCTAAAAAAAGGGCTCATACCTACCAATTCACTTCCAATGGAGCTGATAGAGAGAAAAAAGTGAGTGTGCAGACCATTGTCGCGTTTGTTATCACTAGGTAGGCTTTGTTGCAAAAAAAAAGAAGCCCTTTACACTACACTCGAAAACCTAAACCCTTTTAAGTTTACTTATGAACAGAAATATTACTAAAATCACATTATACCGTGTTCACTTTCGTCTGTCCGTGTTAAACGCATTCTAGCTCATTTGCCAATGTGAGTATAAAACTTTGCATAGCGGTAGGCCAGCGACCAAACAAAAATACTTTAAAAAACACAACAAAAAAACCCTGATGCAGTATCGGTACTTAAAACGTTGGGGGTTTTTTGTCTGTGCACTGCACCACCACCCTTTGGGTGTACAGATTCTGCACAGGATCAGTGCAATACACGATTAACGGATACCAAGGCTTCATATGTCTCACTCTGAGATGGCGACATCCACTGCACCCACAATTCAGTGTTACACGTAGGTTGTTGTTTTTTCCCCACTCACCCGTCTATTGGGCCATGTTTCAAAGGCGGGCGTTAAAGTATGAAGATGCAAATATGCAACTTTTTTTTTGCTACAAGTGTCAAACGCAAATCGGCTATTTTTTTCTATTTATTCTTTTAATCTGCTTCAAGCTAACAAAGAAGAAAATGTAAAAAATTCCGAACTGTATTTCAGGGGTCTTCATTAATGGGCTTTGAGATTCTGTTGGATATCCAACATTTAGACCCACATGCAAATACATCACGAATGGTTGTAGATCTAAACATTTCTTCCAAATTCATGGATTTCTTTTAAAAATCGGCTATAATTCAATATTTTGCCAATGTTCTGATTTAACACATTGTATAAAGACACTCGCTCATAAATGCATGGCTGGCGGTTGCCAGGAGCTCTGGTGTGGCTTGCTCCTTTTCCTATCGTCCTTATCTCTCCTCTTCCATTTCTTTGTGTATTTGTATCTGACTCTCTAATAACCCACCACTTCGGCACGTGTATAAACTGTACTCAGAGACATAAGAAAGGCAAAAGAAACGGGTAAAACTAAAGCTGGCATAAAACAAATTACACTCAACAGAGGTTTGCATGTTAATGAAATTTCAATTCGCCCAATTTACTTAGCGATGAGTGTCAAAAGGTGTAGTTTTAGCCTCACTATGTTATTTCTGTGACCTTGACACTTATAAAGTGACCTCTGTTGGCTGCAATAACCGCTCTGCATCTACAACCCATAGAGTAGAGCTGACAAGAGTGTTAATTTGTCGAACTGAGATCTATGACTGTACTCAATTGATGATAGTTGCAGCTGGTTGAGTCGCCTGAAAGCGTCCCAAACGTGGGTTAGACCTAAGTCAAGTGAATGAGTCGGATGAGGCAAAAGGTAAAAGACTGATGTACTGTGTTATACAGGCAGTATGTTGTCTTGCTGGCAAAAGATATTTAGATGCCTCTACAAAGAGGGCACTGCACGAGGCTGGAGAACTTGGTCAATGTAGCGCTGAGCTATAACCCCATTTCCTTGTTTATGACCCACTTTCTGGAAGAACACTGGTCCAGTTCATTGGTTTAGAGCGATGTCTCCCCAAAACATGACGCTTGACCCTCCCCAAGGGTCTCCCTCCACGATGTTGGCACCAGCGTAGCACGCCAGGTCTGTGCGCCACACATGGATGCACCCATTTGACAGATCAACGGAGAATCTGCTCTTGTTAGTGAACAGCACCCTTCTCCATTATCTGCTTCTCCAGTTCAATGAGTCCAATGGTTCTGGTACTCAGGACCAGTCCCGTTCATCCCATGGTGTTCCTAGTGGTCTCGGCGGCTGTCATGGACGGATTCAACCAGTATTGGCGGACCATGAGGCGATCCTGAGCTGCAGTTGTCGCAATCGGTCTTCAGGCTCTGGGGAGATCACTGGCGACACTGGTGGCGAAAAACTGGTTCTATAGACTGTGTAGATGGTGGAGACATGCCAAACCTGTTCAGCAGACTCGTCAGCTTTTAGTCGTCTAATAGCCCTCTCACGGTTTTCTGGTGAAAGTCTCAGCATCTTGATACTGATTTCGTTTCCAACTGAGTTGCATATTTCGAGGCTTAAAATCTGTATGCCAGGCCTACGTGACATCATGAACACACATTCACTTCTCGAATGACGTGACAAGTGAGTACCCGTGAGCTGTGATAGCTGTATGGCTGTTCGTTGCATTAGCAACCAATCAGTGCATTGAATTGTGTCATTGTTTGATTTGGTAGGTTAATCTTGCAGGTTCAGACCATGATTCGATCGAACATGTAAACGGCACTAACCAATGGAAACTTTGGTCAGCGCTTCAGCGACGATGAAAATGTCGCGTTTCTTTGGTCTCAGGGTATGTTGCAAGCGTCAAAAATGGAATAAACTATGGTACACAGGCCTCAGTTCGTGAACAAAATGCTATAAATGCCACACTTAAGTGTTTTTTTTCCGTGCCCTGATTTTGGTGCTGATTCGTAAGTTGAGCAAAAGTATATATACATGGTACAAATTGTTATGCTTCAACAACAACAAAAAATCCAAGACAATAGGACATTTTTCAGGTCTGTGATTTTGATGATGATCGTTTATTTCTTTGCTCGGTGGTTGTCGGGGAAGGGACAGGGCAGAAACCTCATTCCCAACTAAGTAGAGACATTGTTAATGTTTTTGTCTCCTAATATCAGAATTTCAAAACAGTGAGAATAGTGTGGTAAGCAACCTTTGTAATTTTTCCATGATCAATGCAAAATTGCGTTTTGTAAAAAAAAAAAAAAATGATTTCCAGGGCCAGGTGTAAGTTGCAATCATTGCAACATGTCCGGGGGGGGGGGGGGGGGGAAGAGACTTAACACAAGGTTTGTACTGCTGCCCTTGTTAGAGCTCCAACCATTAGATCTAAAACTTTTTCCAGCAACAACAAGTAAGTATTAAGTTCACAATGTGATTATAGACACACAGATAACTTACAACAAATGTTGAGGACCGGGGAAGAACGACCGTATTTTTTAATATAAAAAAAGAACAGGAAAAAAAATTCGTGGGGGAGGGCTGGGCTACGCGAATACCTGATCTCGGTGGTATGGATTATATGGTATCGACATACAAGTTTTGTACGTGTTATTGCCTTTAAGGAAGGCTTGGGACTGAATAAGCTCAATATCTTTTCCTCTTGCCTTTCATGTTAATGTTTATTTGTACATCAAGAACAGGTCGAACTTGAAGTACTGCCACTCCGCTGGGTAGAGTTTCGAATAGTGTGTTATTCTTGGCGGTGACTGCGATTTCTGGGGTTTTTTGCTGAAAACATAGCCTCCTTCAAGTACTTTGTACCGCAGCACTTCCGAAATTCTTCCTCAAACGCACGATACGATTTTAAAAGTCTGAGGACAACGTCTTATCTTTAGTTTTCTATTCATAACGTGTTACGAACACATAAATAAGAGACAGATCTAACCCAGTCTCATAAGTCAATAAATAATCATAAAGAGTAGTTACAAACATTCCGGGGTTCGAAAGGAAATAGTACAGGTCAGTTTCCGAATGCTTTGCACTCAAATTCTTCTTTTCACCTGCACAATGGACTTCAAAACTATCTAAATCTATAAACTTATTTTTATCAGGTAAAATCATTTTGCATTAAATTCAAGCTCATTTGAAAGATTTTGTGCAGTAAAGTGAAAGTCTTGCTTCCTGGCTATCTTTTCGAGCTCCGCAGGTCTAAGTGGGTCAATTTGTTCTCTACTAATTTCATTGGACGAACATCTAGAGGTTTTGAATGAGACGTAGGCTACTACGTTTCTGTGTAGAACCAACACAGGCGATTCTACAAGTAGACCACAAACGCACAAAAACTCAAGCAGAAATTCATATATCGGGGGACATACATCCGGGGGACGAGGGTTAGGGAAAGAGAGAGACCCCCCCCCCCAAAAAAAACACAAAAAAAACAACAACAACAACAACAACAACAACAACAACACAGGGACAGAGAGGCGTGCGTAAGCGGAAGTTCAGGAACGCAAAACACCGAGCACACAGGCTAGATCTACTCACCAACGCAAAAGACCTCCAATTTACTCGGTGGCAATGAAAAACAACAACAATTAATTGTTACTATACGTCACTCTGTCACAACTGACACTACATTTTTTAGCTATCAGTGTCTGGCAACTTTTCTTGCAATTTTTGCTATTTTTTTAATGTAACTTTCTCCGGGGTCAGCTCAGTTTACATACACACACCCTGACAAAGCTAAAGGAAAGATGAACAAATATATATATATATATATGTACTTCTGCCTCATTGATTAGTTAAATGCTTTTGAGAGTAAGGCATGATGAGCTTAGATTTAGACTGTAGGAAGCGCTAAACATTGACGGAAAAGACTTAAGAATTATTAGGAATATGCACTTGGATCACAACACTGCTGTAAGAATGAGGAAGAGTACAGTGAATATAAGTAGATCAAAGGAGAAGTCAGCCTGTGATAAGCTATATCATCAGACCTCTTTAACAGTCTATGTTATAGTGAAACAATCCTTAGAGACATAGAATAAAGTCCAAGTCTCAAAGTGAATGGACAAAATATAATTTATAATATTCTATATATACCGATGATACAGTTTTAATTGCAGATTCAGAAAAGGACCTTCAACTGATTCTAGATGCTGTTGTAACAGAAAGTGAATGTAAAGGTTTATTGCTGGATGTAAACAAAGCAGGATGCATGGTTATTATTATAACATTAGTTAGAAAAGTTAACCCATGTTATTATCTCATTAAAAAAAGTACAGGTGTGTGTACCTGTAATTGTAAGTGCATGGGTTTAACGCCTGTACACTGTAGGGTTATCTAAGAGGTGTGACCTCCAAATTTAACACCCGTCTCTGAGAGTAAAATGGGTTGAGAGCTTTGAAAAATTGATAAAACGATTGGAATTCAATAACATACTGTTTGGGATTCCAACTATGGTCATCAGCTCTGTAGTCCAGCATGATACCACATTACAATTACATCCAATGCCGAATTTTCCACGGATATTATTAATCGAAGAATCGCAAAAGCTTAAGATAGCTCCAATCAAATAGGCCCCATCCTGAAATATAAAAACATCTAATGACTACATACTAAAATAAGGGTTCAAAAAGCTTATGTGGGGTCTGTTTGTATGTTTGAGTAAAGAGAAGCCCATCAACACAATTACATCTAGAGAGAAACTGGAGAAGTTGACCCTACCAGCGGAGCCCTACAAACACATGACTATGTGTAGTCAAATTTTTTATATTATGGCCGTGAAAATGGTGAAATGGTATAGGTTTTATGCCCCTATCACCACCATTGGATCATTTAAATGGGGAACCTCAGAGTTTAACATCCATCTCCTAGTTTTAGTAGAGGGTATTACGGCGCTCACAACTGCATAAGGTCATATGAGCGCCAAGGGGAGGATGTCAACAGAGAAGTCTTTACAGGGAATCAGACTTAGACTGCCACCTCTCTAGCTTCAACAGCACAAGGTCTGCTTCGACTATCAAGGCACCCCAAAATAGCAGGTCACAATAGAGTGACAAACATACAAAAGAAGTAGAGGAAATGACAATAGTAAGGATCAGGGGAAAAAAGCAGCAGTTCCCTATTGTAGTCAGGCACAGTTATGAGCGTGACATGAGTCAGCCCATTTACAATTCTACTATGCTTGAACGAGAAATGTCCCCCCTTTGGGAATGGCCTAAAGACACTTCAGTCAGTGGCATTCCCCCCAGGGGGTAAGTAGAGGGTTTAACGGCGCTCGCAACTGCATGAGGTCATATGAGCGCCAAGGGGTGGTTGTCAACAGAGAAGTCTTTAAAGGGAATCAGACTTACTCTGCTCATCTCTCTAGCTTCAACAGCACAAAGTCAGCTTCGACTATAAAGGCACCCCGGAAATAGCAGTTCAAAAGAGTGTAACAAACATACAAAATAAGAGGAGGAAAAAGACAATAGGAAAGAAAAAGCAGCAGTTCCCTGTTGCAGATCAGACACAGTTATGAGCGTGACATGATGAATCAGCCCATTTACAATTCTACTGTTCATAAGCGAGAAATGTCCCCCCTTTGGGAATGGCCTAAAGACACTATAGTCAGTGGCACTGCCCTGGGGGGGGGGGGGGGGGTGCAGTGGCGGTGGGTGGACCAAGATTTGGGTGGGGCTTAGGTTGCTTCCACTTCTTTACCACCAAATAGCAAGTAATAAAAACTAAACAGTGATGATTTTCTGTACTCACTGCGAGCCACGGCATTTTGAGAACCATTCAAACGAGAAGAGCCACTTTTGTCTTCCATCTCTTTGTTCTACGTTAAATCTTCTGGATGGTGGGGACGAAGCCGTTTCACCTCCAAATTTCTCTAATTAGTTTTTATTTGAAGAAAAAGTTGCCTCAAAAGTGGTTGTATGTAATTAATAACTGTTAAATCTCAGCGGCACAAACACACAGCACTCCAAACACATACCGTCTGTGAGGACTGTGCAGTGTTATTGTTTTCAAGTCTTCTACCTTTTTATTAGAGGGGGTTCATTAAGGAGGGACGGTGGGAACGGGCTGGTTGATTGCTGAGCCCTAAAGACATTTGATTGGCTGTTAGGTTACTATAGTTGTAAGCGGTGACAACAGTGATTGGATAAACGAGCAAGCTGCCAAGTTGATCACTCTGTGTTCATTGCGAGCGATCAGAACAGTTTCAACTGCTTATTTCGTTATTTTCATTTGCCTTGGGATAGACTTGGAGGGTGGGGCTCAAGCCCGTGAGCCCTTCACTACCCACCGCCACTGGGGGGGTGTATCCATCTCCAAAAGGACCGAGCCAAATAGGACATTTGAGTAAAAAGGCTTTCCCAAAGGACACAACGTCAGACCGAGATGACGCTTGAACCCCGAACCTGCAATCTCACAAATATGGGTCTGGGAGCCTAACCACTAGGCCACCCACACCACCTATTATGGCTGTGAATGCTGGACAATTACCCAATGGAAAAAAAAAGAACAGAAATGTGGTTTCTCGAAAGACGTTAAAGAATTTCATGGACAGAAAAGAAATCAAACGAAAATAAAAAAGAAACCCAGATGGGCCGCTTACTAATGAGAATAATTGGGAAGAGAATACGATTTCTAGGACACTACACTCAACCAAAGGGTTTTGAATCTTGTTCTCACTGGAAAGATAGGTCATGGCAAACAAGGCAGGGGCAGACCCATAGAAACTTATTTGGAAAACCTGAACAGATGGGTGACGAGGAATAATATGGGAATTGTGAGAAAATCCCATAGGAGAAATGACAGGAGAACCATGATCATTGATGTCTGTTTCAGATCTCTGGCATTTTACAATATATGTATACACGCATTCATACTCAGAGATTTTAAAAGACAGAGAGGAGAGTGGGGACGAGGGAGGGAGGGAGGGAGGGAGGGAGAGAGAGGGGGGGGAGAGAAAAAGAGAGAGAGTGAAAGAGAAAGAGATAGAGTGTGGAATCCATTAAAACCCAAATCTTCCAGACAGCTGGATTTTCTTCGGATTAGCCGGCCCGGGCTGCAGTTTTGAGAGGGTTGGACGGACAATGATGATCGCCCACATTGTCGAGTTGGGAATGCCATACTAGCGTCAAATTTATTTTTACGAAAGTGTTTTTCTCATCTCTTTTACTGACTGCACTTTGCACAGCAGGCTGCATACATTGTCCTTTCTCTTCGGCATTATCAGCCTGCTTAATCTGCACAACAGTCATACAGAACAGACAAAACAGAAGGTGGAAGCGAAAAAGAAAGCCCACTGCCAGTGACACCATAAAACATACCACATTCCGTCACGTACTCGTGTGTCGGGCCTATGTGCTCTAACTTCAGAGTCAATAAGCCATGATAAACCAAAGGTGGTGCAACAGATTATATTCGTTATCCTTGTGTAACTAGGCTTATTAAATACACACTAGAGATGTCCTTCTCTGGCCGGAAATTTACACTTCGCCTCAGAACTATTTTGTCCAAAATGCGCTCAATAGTTCAGTACACTGTGGACAACATAGTTCTGAGACAACGATATGTGCGCTCCGATGCAATCTTGAAGCGTACAAGACCTGAAGGTTGTAAGTAAAAGATTTAAAGGACAAAAATCCACCTATTTTTTAAGTAGAATTTCAAATTGTGTCATCCAAAGTACTCTTGGGAGAACGAAGAAGAAAAAAATTGGACCCTTATTTTTGTTTGGTTTCCTGCTCTTTTCAGTTTAAGAGGACTCCAAACAAATAAATTGTCGGTGCTCTGTTGGAACCTTGTTAACTCAAATTTAGAATTCTCTACGAGAGACAAAAAAAGCTGCCTAACATTGTCAATGTTAACACTTGAGCTATCAATTTTTGTCAATGTATTTTGACAGGCCTTAGACAAAACTCTACAAAGAAGTACAGTCAAACCTCGTATACCGTCATCCTTAGGACGAACAAAAGGTTGGCGGTACAGTGTGGCTGGCGGTTGTCACTTTGACCAGTGCTAGACTGGTAGAGACTAGAGGCATCCTGTGGCCAGTCTCGCCATTTCCTGCAGATTGTCACGGGTAGCTAAAATATATCTGTCCGCCCCAGTCATAATCAGTCGTAAGACACAATGTGTTATTTGGCGGTACGAGGCTCAAAAGGCAAAAAAGTGACTTTCCATTAATTTTTTGTCTTTTTGGATCTATTGAAAGTTAATTGTCTTTTGCTTCATTTAACATCAAAATAAACAACTATAAACTATAAATATTTTATTTCGATTTATTTTGGAGGTGTGTGAGTGGTTTGTTGTGAGCTTGGGTGACAAGATACAGGAATTTGGACCTCAAACCCTTTCGAACATTTGATCTGCTGGTGTGTAGCTGTGAGATTATTTATAACCCTTACCTCATGGCTATATTGCTTCAACGTCCTTGATTCCCCCCTATTTTAGATTGATACCCCTTTTCAAGCATACGGGTCTGAAATATAAACAATTTAGCGTCACTATGAACAACTGAAGGCTCTAATGTGTTAAACAGGGTAATGTAAGAACGGTAATTCCTAGCCCA